TACACACAAGACCAATAATTTTAAAACGATGTGTCTTAGTTCTGAACTAACCTTCAAAAGGAAAATCTTTTCCACGTTCTTGTCAAGAAATTTCAGCATTTTATACATGTTCATCGAGTCAGCCCTCCCTCTTCTAAACCTCAATGCAAACAAGCCCATCCTGTCTAATCTTTCCTCATAAGACTCCTTGCACATTCCAAATATCAACACAGTAAATTGCCTTTAATGGATTTACATTCCTCTTTAAGAAGGAGATCAAAACTACTCACAGTATTTCAGATGTTGGTTCACCAAAGCTGTAGATGACTGAAGCTTATTGTCCTTAGTTTAATGTTCATGTCGTCTCACAATAAATGATAGCATTCCATTAACTTTGTTAATTAGTTGTTATAGGTAGTTCCTTGTGGGCGTCATGGTGGCACAGTAGATAGCACTGCTGCCTCACAGCGCCAGGGACCCGGCCAGCCTCGGGCGACTGCCTGTGAGGAGTTTGCACATTCTCCCCATGTCTGGCGGGTTTTCTCTGGGTGCTCCGGTTTCCTCCTATAGTCCAAAGATGTGCCGGTTAGGTGGATTGGCCATGCTAAATGGCCCATAGTATTCAGGGAGGTGTAGATTAGGTGGGTTATAGGGGGATGGGTCCGGGTGGGATGCTCTGAGGTTCGGTGTGGACAAGTTGGGCCGAAGGGCCTGTTTCCCCACCATAGGGATTCTGTGAAAGTGGAGTCACAGGTAGATAGGATAGTGAAGAAGGTGTTTGGTATGCTTGCTTTATTGATCAGTGCATTGAGTGTAGGAGTTGGGAGGTCATGCTGCTGCTAAACAGGACATTGGTTAGGCCACTTTTGGAATACTGTGTGCAGCTCTGGTCTCCCTGCTATAGGTTTGATGTTGTGAAACTTGAAAGGGTTCAGAAAGGATTTACAAGGATGGTGCCAGGGTTGGAGGGTTTGAGTTATAGGTTGGGGCTGTTTTGCCTGGAGCATCGAAGGCTGACAAGTGACCTTGTAGAGCTTTATAAAATCATGAGGGGGATGGATAGGATAAATAGACAAGGTCTTTTCCCCGGGTTGGGGGAGTCCAAAACTAGAGGGTGTAGGTTTAAGGTAAAAGGGGAAAGATATAAAAGGGACCTAAGGGGCAACTTTTATCATGCAGATGGTGGTGCATGTATGGAATGAGCAGCCAGAGGAAGTGATGAAGGCTGTTACAATTACAACATTTAAAAGGCATCAGTATGGGTACATGAATAGGAAGGGTTTAGAGGGATATGGGCCAAATGCTGGCAAATTGGACTAGATTTATTCAGGATATCTGGTTGGCCCGGACAAGTCGGACTGAAGGGTATGTTTCCGTGCTGTATATCTCTATGACTCTATAACTAACTTTTTTGCAACTTGTGTACCAGAACAACCAGATGCTTCTGCTCCTCAGATATGTGCGGTTATTCTCCATTAAGTAACACTCTGCATTTCATTCTTCCTGCCAAGGTGAACAACTTCACATTTTCCCACAATATATCCCATCTGCCAGCATTTGTTGCCCATCCCGAGTTGCCCTTGAATCAAATGGTTTGTTAGGCCATTCCAGAGCCAATTCAATTACATTGTTTTGGAGATAGTAGGAACTGCAGATGCTGGAGAATCTGAGATAACAAGGTGTA